AACTTACAAAGAAATTAGTCAAGTAGGTGCAATGAACTCTTAGTGAGGCAGGAATGAGAAGGAGCACATTTTAGAATTTCAAAAGGAGGGTTTTCTAGTTGATCCCTAATAAAATCTGAGCAGACTTTTCTGATTAAGCGTCCAGCTAAATTTGCTCTTATGCAAGGCAAATGTTCTCAAGAAGCTCATCCTTGAAGATAGTTAATTGAGAAATATTAATGACTCACATGAAAGAACATTAACCCGTAACATTTACATAAATATGCATACCAGGTGAAAGTAAATGCATTACAAACGTAAGTGCAATTTAGTAAAAGGAGAGAAGGAGGCTGGGGAATAGCAGGATCAATGGAGCAGAGAAACCATGGTGAGTTCCAGGGGGGTAGATGAAAGCTGCCAGAAAGTTCCAGTCATGGTCACACATTCGGGGTAACATCAATGGGCTCAGTGAGGGAATGTAAGGTGACAGCACACTATGGGGCTTCTTATACTAATTGTTGCAAACCTCTCAACAGTGTGCACGGACACAAATATTTTAGAAATATGGGAAAACACATCAGTAGATGTGTGCACAGTAGATACTGTGCTTTTTTATTTTGATTCATGAAAAGCATTCCCGTCAGTGTAGCATATACCACGGTGCGCAACTGGCAAATGCCAGAGTCCTAAAATTATTCTGTCAACTGCAAGGGAAGAAAAAGATGAAGGAGAGACCTACAGATTAAAAAAAATTTAGAAGGAGGGCACCTGGTGGGCTTGTGACTCTTGACCTTGGGGTTGCAAGTTTGAGCCCCACACTGGGAGTAGAGATTACTTAAAAAAAAAAAAGTTTAAAAAAAACCTTAAAAGATAATCAAACAAATGCAATGTGAGGACCTCATTTGGAACTGGGTTCAAACAAACTATTAAAAAATTATATGACATTTATCAGACAACTGAGAAATTTGAACACTGGACACTTAATATCAAGGCATTATTGTTAAATTCTTAGGTATGAACATGGTATCCTGTTTTGCTAAAAAAAATTCCCTGGGGCGCCTGAGTGGCTCAGTAGGTTAAATGTCCTACTTTGGCTCAGGTCATGTTCTCACAGTTTGTTAGTCTGAACCCCGTGTTGGGCTCTGTGCTGACAGCTTGGAGCCTGGAGCCTGCTTCAGGTTCTGTGTCTCCCTTTCTCTCTGCTCCTCCCCGCTCATACTCTGCACCTCTCTCCCTCTCTCTCAAAAATAAATAAACATTTAAAAAAAAAAAAAAACCTTATCCTCTACAGATGCATGTTGAATTATTTACGGGTGAAATAACGTGATGGGTAGAATTTTCTCCAAAATAATAAGGGAAGGGGAAGAGATGGGAGCCAGATGAAACAAGGTTGGGCAGGAGTTGAATGCTGAAACTGTATGATGAGTACAAGGGATTTCAATATACTATCCTGTCCATTTTTCTCTGTTTGAAATTCTCTATAATGAAAGGTTTTTTGAAATTCCATGTTATACTAATAAATCCTATTAGCTGTACTAAATTCTACAGCAAAAGATAAAATGTTAAAAAGAAAACTAGTCTGTTAGTGCCCTAAAATATTGAACTTTTAGTCTATGTGACATTTAAAAAAAAATTTTTTTTAATGTTTATTTATTTTTGAGAGAGAGAGAGAGAGACAGAGCATGAGTGGGGGAGGGGCAGAGAGCAAGGGAGACACAGAATCTGAAGCAGACTCCAGGCTCTGAGCTGTCAGCACAGAGCCTGACTCAGGGCTCGAACTCACAAATCGTGAGATCATGACCTGAGCCGAAGCCGGACAGTTAACCGACTGAGCCACCCAGGCGCCCCATGTGACATTTTTAAAAAAGCGTTATACGTACATGATTAATTACACTTCTTAGAATTGCTTAAGGAAGCGATTAAAAATGAACAAGAAAGGATAGTCAAGACTATATAGTTCATCCTATGAAAAAATCAAATTAAATAATTGTGGCATAATAAAAAATATTTGTCTATTTAAAAAGATACTGTAGGAAAGTACTTAGCAATACGAAAGTTGTTTTCAAGTTGGGGAAAAACATGTTAAAATAGTACATGTAGTAAAAATCACACTTGTAACTTAAAAAAAGCAGGAATGGGAACATGGAAAAGGACATTCAGTCAGGTTAATGGTCATCTTTTAATGAACAGGGTTATGGGTTTTTCTCTAGCTTCTTTTCATAAACAGTTTAAGAATTCTCCATCACAACCAAGGCTTGTTTTTGTTATTTCAAAAATCACAGACACATTATCGTAAACGGATTAAATGATAAAGAGGTGTATTTGTTTGGTTTTACTCCAGCAGCACTGGCCTTACTAAACACACACACACACACACACACACACACACACACACACACACACACTAAAAATCCCATAGTTGAAACAAGGACTATAATTAAGAGCACTTCAGAAAAAAGTTCCTTGGGCAGGAAACAATCATCTATCTGAAAACGAAGTTCTCTCAGAAGAGAAGCACACACTCCTGTCCCACACCTGTCATGAACACCCACTATCAGTGGCTTTGACTCTGGGTCTCTAGCTATAAGAGCAAATAGTTTAACAGCAAACATATTCTATCCAGGTTAAGGTACCATAGACCTGTGAATGCACGGAGACATACCCAGACCCTGTTTTGGGGTCATGGTGAGAAAAGGGCTTGTTAAACAGCTCGTTTCTCGAGAGAGAGACACATGACCTCTTCTTACCCATTCACTCCCTGGGAGAGACAAAGAGCATCTCTCACTGAAATCCTAATGTTTCGGTCGGAAGTGACCAGGTCACTCACTGCTTTTGTTACCCAAGACAGCATCTAAGAATCTCACCTCATAGTCTTTCCTTGGAAGGATCTCATCCTCCTCCTCCTGTGTTTCTCCAAGGATGGTCTAGAAAAACAGATCCATAAAAGCAAGACTCTTTTAACGGTTAAAAGTAAAAAGAGACAGAAGTATTTATGGAAATTTGTTGCTAATTTCCACATCGTCTCGAACTATTATCAAATGGGAACAAGACCTCAAAAAAAAAACAAAACACCACTTTTGGGATAGGGGGTGTTGTGGGTGGCAATCTACGGTCATCCAGCTGAGCTCTTTGTTTCTACTGATGTGTTCTTCAAATAACGATTTCAGGACACCTCAAAGATGTCCCTTGCCAGCTAAAGGGGGGGAAAATCAGGTTCCATCTGACAATGTGGTGAATCTGAAAACAGAAGGGACCTGTCAACTCTGGGACACAGCAACTCAAGTCTTCCCAGGGTGCTTTGCAGAGGGAAGCTGGATTATCAATGACCCAGAAAAGGTGAGGGATACGGTGAGAAAGGGCTGGGGAAACTAAGCCAGCTGCATGATAAGCACAAAGTCCAGGGAAGGGGCTCATTCTGAAAACGCTGGTTTCATTCAAAACTCTGTTCACATGGAAATAAAAGAAAACACGGAGGGGATTAACTGGAGCGGGCCTGGATATTCCCTCAGATTCCAGGGAGGGATTATGAGAAAAGACCCCAGACTTGGGCACGTGAAGCCCGGCAGATGCTTCGAGAGCTTAGGATGCAGTCCCCAGACCCCACCCGCTGCCACCTGAGGCCCCAGCGCGGCTCGGCCCCACCCCCCGGCAACGCCTCTCGCCATCCCTTGGCAACCGCCCCCTCCCCAGGCGGGCTCCGCCTGCTCCTTACCAGCTCCTCGGGGGTGCGGGTCTCACGCTCACCGCAGCAGCAGCACCACCTGCAGCAGCAGCACAGGGACCCCCTGCACCCCGCCATCTCCCTCCTTCACTGCCACTCCGGAACCCTCCACCGACCCCCTCCCACCCAGAATCCGCGCCTCACGTGACTGGCCCCGACAGTGTCACGTGGCCCTCTCGAGCTTGGGACCGAGACAGGGAGTGGCTGCAGACGGGTGGGGCGAGGGCCCGCGTCACATGACGGTGGAGGGACCACTTCCAAAGAGACCTCTGGGCGCGGCCATATTGGGGATGGAGCTTCCGGTCTCCCGCACGGATGTTTTCCGCCCTCTCGTCCCGCCTCCCTCTGCACTGCAACCTGACACCTGCGCCGCGCCCCGCCCCCCGCGCGCCCCGCCCGTCCTCCGGCGCTCACACAGTGGTCACGCAGCTGCGGCGGGTGCGAGGGCTCTGAGTCACCCGCCAAGGGAGGGTGAGTGGAAGCGAGGCGTGGGGTCGCCAGGGAGGGATATCCGGGAAGTGGGGACCACCCACCGAGGGGCGGGGAGCGAGGGAGGCCCGCCCGGCCCGGCCCTCGAGGCGGTGGGCTCCAGCTCTTCGGCGCACGCCCCCCGGGGGACCTCTGTCACTTCCAATGGCTGCGAACCTCAGTGACTTCCAACCCTGAAACGAAGACTCCCTTGCAGTCCCCGACCTGGACGGAGGGACCCCGGGGAAGAGGCGGCCCTGAGACGGGGGGTGGTGACCCAGACCCTCGGGACCGGGTCTGGGTCCGCGTCCCCGCCCCGACCATGACCCAGTGACCCGGTGACTCCATTCGCGGTTTTGGAAGCCACCCGGGTGCCGGTGGCGTTTTTCCGGCTCCAGCCTTTTAAACCTGCCTCCCAGCTGAGCACCTGTGGGCCGCTGGCACTGCCGTCTGCGGTGCCCACTGCGTCGGGCTGCGCACGGGTGTCCACCCCTGGCCCTTCTGGGAGCGATGGGTTTTGCATTCGCGCACTGCGCAGTGCTTGGCACAGATTAAGCGAGTGGCCGGTAAATGGCAGAGGGTTATTTTGAGAAGAGAGTGACGGCGCCTGACCTGTTGGCGCTGAGTGCTGGCTTTTATCATCGTGGGGATGCCATAGGCAGGATATTGGGCTCTCGTCTCAGGGCACTGGGGGGGGGGGGGGGGGTAGGAGAGGAGACAAAACCGTGAAGCCACAATTACAGCCCTGTGTTGGGTGCTATGGGAGTCCAGCTTAAAATGGGTAAGTAGTGCTGGGAGGTAGAAGGTTGAAAGAAGGCACATGCCTGGCACGTTCTAGGAATGCTGCAAGTCTTTATTAAAGAAATGAAAGAGCGGGTAGTTCGTGGGTGGTTCTGCTTCCTGCCCCCTCTCCTGGTTTTGTTCCAGCAGACAGTTAATGAGCCACTCTCTTGAGTTCAGGAGGAAGGCCAGCTAGGCCCATCTTGACATTCTTCCCTTCTTCACTCACGTTGGCCATTCCTGCCGAGAACCTCAAGTTTTAGGATCAAAATGGGCATCCCTAGGGAGAAAAATCATCGGTATGAGTGTTTTTACTCTGGTCCTGACTCCTTGACTTTGGACGTGCAAACTTGTGTTATGTGCACTTGTGTGTGTTTCAGGGGAGAGGAGCAGTGGATTTCATCAATTTCTCAGGAGTCTAGAGCCCCCAAATAGTTAAGAACACTGGCTTGGCAGTGGATGATCCCTGAAAGGAATGAACTTGGCCTGGTTGTTCCTCTGATGACCCCAAGTCACCACACATTGGATTTTCGCTAAAAAGTGTGTGTTTGCACGTTGCTGTGCAAGAGTAGCGTTCTGTTTTGTTTTTAAGAATTTGTCTTATTTTCCCCACCAAACCGGCCAATGACGCCGTGCCCTCTGTTGGCCTGCCTGTGGTTGCCAAGGTCCAGGGCTTCCTATGTGGTTGCCGTGCAGTCACTATAATTACTTTAACTGACTTCAGTGGTGTGCGTAAGGAGGACAGTCTGGAAGGCAGGCACAGACGGGACAGCTTTTCTTCTGAGTTGAACATAAATTCATGCCCTTACTGAATTTGGGTCTGTTTCGTTGTGGAACCTACTCAATGTCAAGTTCTAAGCCATGACGCGTCTTTTTTTGGAGAAGCGTGAACTCAGGAGAAATCTGGCTGCCTTGTCATGCCTGCACCCTTCCATCCTGCAAGCACACAAACCGTTCCAAGTAACAGGAGATATTCCAGGCAGGGCCAGGCTGAGCTCTGCCTTCTTGGGAGAGTGATCCAGTGACCCTGAACGTCTGTTGGTCTCATATCCACCAACCCCTGCAGCCTCCAGTCAACATCCCCCTCCTTCCAGCTTCTGCTGCTAGAGCCCCAGCCCTTTCTCTCTCGCCTAGAAGCCTTGCCCCCGCCCCCTTGCGCAGGGCCCCAGCTCTAGCTCTGGGCTCTTCCCTTGTCACACCTCCCTCCGCCCAGACAAACACACTGGCTGGGGGAAGGTTCCTCCTGTTTCGTCCCCACCCACTCTGGGTCTGAGCTGGCGGAGATGGACCATCCAACACCCAAGGTCCTCCTAGCCAGGCCCCGCTGCCCCTCCCTACGAATGTGGGCTTTGGAGGCCAGCAGCGGGAGGTTCTCAGTGCCACCCTCCATCAGGTAGCTGTCACCGAGGATCCACGGGCTGAAAGAGCGTGTTTCTGTGCTGGGTGGGGGCTGGTTTATTTAGAGCCAGGCAGCTGTGGAGGGCAAAGCTTTGAGTGAAGCAGTGTAGACAGTCATAGCTGTGGTGTGTGCAGCCCTTGGGTGGGGGCACCGTCACCCTTACCCTCACCAGCCTTCTTCCCGCGTGGAAATGCAGCATCTCTCACTTGACCCTGCCACTCTGGGTCCTGGCTGCCTGCCCTCTGACGCTCCTGCCCTCCACCCCGTGCAGCAGGAACCCGGCCATGGTGAACGAACCCAGAGGGGATGGTGGCCCCTTGTCCCGCTCGGAGGGCAGCAGCAGTGGCAGCGAGAGCTCCAAGGATAGTTCGAGATGTTCCACGCCGGGGCTGGACCCCGAGCGCCACGACAGACTCAGGGAGAAGATGAGGCGGAGGATGGAATCTGGTGACAAGTGGTTCTCCCTAGAATTCTTCCCTCCTCGGACCGCTCAGGGAGCCGTCAATCTCATCTCGAGGTGCGCTGATGTCCTTAGGAAATAGGGGCCGAATGAGAGGGGTGGGGGAGGGAAACCGGCAGCCTGGGGGCAGGGCCACACTTTCACCCGGCAGAAGAAGGCCGCCAGAGGGGGTGGAAAAGAGCGGGGGGGGGGGGGGGGGGGAGATAATCTGAGCGGCAGCTTCTCGGCTGTCAATAAAAGTCCCTGCAAGCAACTTGGAATTTTTAGAGTCACACACTGCACGCAACGGGTTAAAAATGTTCATTCTCTCAGACCGCATTCTTTGGCGGAACTTGGGCCTGGTGCACAAATACAGTTTAGGAAGTCATAAAGCAGCGGCTTGGAGAACATTTTCCACAAGTTAGGAATTTGACGTAGGCCTCTTGAAATCTAGAAACGCGAAATGAGTTACGTTAGCACGTTATGAATTGCAGTTCCTTTTTTAAGAAAGAAAGTGTCTGCTTTTTACCATTTGTATCTTCCATGTGTCGCTCTCACGGTTTTGAGGTTTAAAGGCACAAGGATGTTTAAATACCCTGTTACAGCTCGTGCACACGTGCACACCTGTGGCTCTTCGGGAACCGTGGCCTTGTTCCATAAGGCCGCTGGCTGCTGCACCGCAGCCGGGAGGCAGCATGAAAGAAACCTGTGTCTGCCGACCCTCTTTTCTCCCCGTTCCTAGAGTGAGCCTCTGTTTGCCACTCTGAGAGTTCCCCAAACCTCTGACCATCGAAGTGTCTTAGCTCACCCGAGATAATGAGCGTGCAAACGCTTTGAAAAGGCTGATGTACTGCTCTCACACGAAAGGGTTTTGCTGTTGCTCATCAGTTATCTCTACAGTCATCATCATCGTCGAAGCTCACACTGCCTGAGTGCTCGGTGTATACCAAGCACTTTTCTAAGAGCTGTGGAACTGTCTATGGTAGTACTTCCGTAGTGTTATCACGAAGTAGGTACCGTTCTTCACACGTTTTTGCAGTGAAGAAACTGGGGCTCAGACAGATCAAGTAATTTTCCCGAGATCACACAGCTAATAAGCAGCAAAGCCAGCAGGAGACGAATGGAGGTGGCCCGATTACCACTTGGGTGTGATGGTTCCCTAACCCCTGGGCCCCGAGGGAAGGTGGTGAAGGGTAGTGTGCTCTCAGGAGCCCCTCTTCAGAAAGAAATTCCATACAGGTTTGATCGGATGGGGGCAGGTGGCCCCCTCTTCATAGATGTGACCTGGCACCCGGCAGGGGATCCCGGCTCAGACAAGGAGACCTCCTCCATGGTGATCGCCAGCACTGCCGTGAACTACTGTGGCCTGGAGACCATCCTGCACATGACCTGCTGCTGTCAGAGCCGGGAACAGATCACGGGCTATCTGCACAAGGCCAAGCGGCTGGGCCTGAAGAACATCTTGGCGTTGAGGGGAGGTGTGGAGCCCGCACTCTGCTATCTGGGATCTCACTTCCTCGAAGGCCTCTTCTGTCCCTGGAGCGGTCCTTTACTTTTCTCTGGGTCCCACACTGAGCGCGCTCAGTCCCCTCCCTGCCAGTAGTGTCCGTGGGCACTGCGGGTACCACACACATGGAGCCGCTTCTTGACCTCCTGACCCCAGCATAGTTTGGGCAGGAATGCAGCCAGCGCCTGATAACCCTCTGCCCTGGCTGCACACAGCGGGCACACAGCCCGCTGGCTGTTCCCAGCCCTGGGCCCAATCAAAGGGTGTGGTTCAGGCATTAATCCCAGGGGTGAGACCTTCGCTGGTGCCTCTAGTACCTGTTGTCCCACCCAAGTGTGAGAAGGAGGAGCCGGACGGGTGGGATTCTGTGGCCTCGTGCCCTCCACAAGAACTCACTTGAGTAGACATTCTTCCAGGAGGCAAGAGGTCCAAGAGGGCGGGAGAGTAAGCAGTAGGGTTGGGTGAGGGTGCCTGAACACAGCCAGATTTGGGTAGGGAAGGGGTCTCTGACGCCCCAGGCTAACTGAGGAGGCGCAGCTGCCCCCTGGTTAGCCCTGCCGGCGCACTGCCCGCAGAGTCGGTGCTCGGTAAGCGTTTGGCAGGATGGCCACGGTCTTCCTGGCCACCATTTGCCAAGTGCCACTCTGGGAGGAAGGGACACGCACCCTGGAGGAAATCAAGGCTCTACCTCTGAGGAGCTGACAACCCAGGCGGGGGGTGGGGAGAAGGAACAAAAAGGCTGTCTGGAGGGTGGGTGACACCCAGTGACTGTGACCTCCGCCACCCCTGCAGACCCCGTGGGTGACCAGTGGGAAGAGGAGGAAGGAGGCTTCAGCTATGCTGCAGACTTGGTGAGGCACATCCGAAGCGAGTTTGGAGACTACTTTGACGTCTGTGTGGCAGGTGAGCGGCTGGGCCTTCCCAGTGCTTGGGGACAGGGGAGGGAAGGAATGACACGCCCAGGGGGCACAGAATGCCCACCAGCACTCAGTTCAGGACCCGATATCCCAGGGCGCCGTGGGCCGGAGCCTGTGCCAGGTGAGGGAGGCTCAGGGCTGCATCACACAATGCCCTTGCTCTCACTGTCTTGCCCCACCCTTTGAATTTTTACTCCTCTGCCTTTTTGCACTCTTACCTTGCTTCCTAGCCCTATTCTGCTTCCTTAAACAAAAAGAATATTTATTAAGATGGTGGGGGGGGGGCAAGGAATCTCAGAACCCCAGTCAGGAAATGGCATCTGACCTCACTAGGCCCCAGCTCAGAAAGCAGTCAGAAACCAAGGCCTCCCTCATTCTGTCTGGAGCCACAGGGTTCCCCCCCCCCATCCCGACCCCCTCTCTGCCTCCCACCGCACATTTGCTCCATGCTTCCGATAGATCGGACAGGTCTGCTTTTACACACACTGACCAGCTGCCAGCTGCTAAGTGTACATGATCACGTCCAGCCAACAGTCCGGACTGACCGGCAGGTCTCAGTATCGGTTCTGAATTCTCAGGAGAGAGCACTGGCTCAGCTCAGCGTCCGTTCTGTGGGCTACAGCCAAGAGGCAAGGTTCACTTGCTGGAAATGGCCTTCCCTCTTACCCCCGCTTACTGGGATTGGGCCTCAGCTTCTCAAACCAGGGCTTGGGTATGGTGAAGCAGATGTGCCAGGGATACAAGAAGTCCAGGGATTGCTTTGACACATCATTTAGCGTGACAACTTTTCTGAAACATTTTTTGGGAAAATCATATCATTTTTATTTTTTTTATTTTTATTTTTTTTTTAATTTTTTTTTCAACGTTTATTTATTTTTGGGACAGAGAGAGACAGAGCATGAACAGGGGAGGGGCAGAGAGAGAGAGGGAGACACAGAATCGGAAACAGGCTCCAGGCTCTGAGCCATCAGCCCAGAGCCCGACGCGGGGCTCGAACTCACGGACCGCGAGATCGTGACCTGGCTGAAGTCGGACGCTTAACCGACTGCGCCACCCAGGCGCCCCTCATTTTTATATTAAAACAAACATAGCCACATTCTGGAAGTAGCATGTCAAAGTGACGTGATTTTTAAAAAATAAGCCACGTGGCTTCAAGGTAGCTAGTTGTTGCCTATGGCTTTGGGTTTAGTCCCAGGCCCCCATGTACGTATCCACTTTTCACAGTCAACAGGCGTGTTTAGGTGAGTGTAGGAGGCCCTGATGAGGAGTTAGGCACATGGCGGGCATTGCCACCTGTTCAAGTGTTAGCTGCCCACACTGGCCACCCTTGGGTCAGTTAATTGAGGAACATGCACATGTGCAGTAGGCATTACGTGCATGGAGACTGGCTGAGCTGTGAGCTTGCAGGTGCCGAGGGGTCTGGTGCTTCGCCTGTCATAAAGTGGGCGAGAAGGCTGATCCTAGGGTTGGAAAACAGCAGATTGGGGCTGTGACAGAAAATACAGTAAATGGAGCAAAATCTAAATGTAAGTATGTGCTGTGTTTGCTGATACTGATGATTTATAGCTCTAGTCTCAGCTGCGAAAATCTCCTTGTTTTTGAAATTCCTGCTGGAAGAATAGCTTGTTATTGAAAGTGAAATTGTGGTGCTCAGTCCCTCCCATGTTTCACCCCTTGAAACAAGAGTTTTTATCTTCCTTTTTGACTTGCAGTTTCTTCAGAACAAAACTGCCTTTATCACAGCAAAGCAGGCTCGCTCTCTGCAGCCTGGCTCAGGGTCCTGCCCAGGGCTGAGGCTGAGGAAGCCAGCACTCCCGATAGCTTCATTTTTTTTTTTTTTTAAAGATTTAACATATATTTTTAAAAATTTTTTTTAATTTATTTTTGAGAGACAGAGAGAGAGCATGAGCAGGGGAGGGGCAGAGAGGGAGAGAGAGAAAGAATCTCAAGCAGGCTCCGGACTGTCAGTGCAGAGACTGACACCAGGGTCTAGCTCAGAAGCCTTAAGATCACAACCCGAGCCGAAATCAAGAGTCGGACACTTAACCGACCAAGCCACCCAAGCACCCCTCACCAGGACATAATTTAACTTTGGTGATACCTGGGGCTCATCATCAAGAAGACAGAGGAGAAGCAAAAAAAAAAAAAAAATTTTTTTTTAATAAAAATATAAGAAGACCAGAGTCAGGAGTATGCATGCAGTTTCTAACCAGATTCTGCTTCCAGAAGCTGTGCACCCACGGGCAGGGCATTCTTCTGTGGACATCTTTTCACTGGACGGTCCCCGATGATATTTGTATTCCTTTCCTCTGGCTTGATCCCTGTTAGAGATCTGGGAGTTCATTATACTGTTTTCATTACTTGGGAGTAGTAAGTTTTCAAACTTCTGTAATAAAAAGTTGCAAATGG